TCAATCTGATCACGTCAAGAGCTCTCCTGAAAACTCTCCCAGAGCTCCTTGCTGCCCTTAGGATGAAGAACAAATCGCTAACATGGCCTGTGAGGGTGCACACACAGTCTGTCCACTGCCCAGCTCCCAGCCTCATCTGGCACCACTGTCCTTCTCTCGGGGCCTTTGAAGCACCCAAGTGCCTTCTGCTCTGGGTACTCAAATGACTGGAAGGATCTTCCCCGACCTCACTCCCACCTCCATCCCACTTTACGTCAGCGCCTCTTCATTTTCTGTTCTCAGTTCAAATGTCACTTTCCCCAAGTAAGTCCTTTCTGACTCCCTGGACTAAAGGAGGTTTCCCTATTGTGTAGTTTCATAGAACCATGCTACTTTCTTTCAATGAATGACTCAACTTGTAATTACACACTTATTTGCGTGATTATTTAATCAGTTCCTGTTTTTTCCTACTGTAACTTTCATGAAAGCAGGACTATGACCATTGCTTTCCCAGGATCTGGCACATGGTAGTAGGCTTCATAGGTATTATTTGCTTAGTGAATGAACTGGAAATATAAGAGTAAACCAGATAGCCTACCTTCAATTGGAGATTATCTATAAAATGGAGATTATCATAATTTAATCAAGAATTAAATGACATATAAGAAAATAATTTACAAGCAATAAAGCACGTGACAAATATGCTCACTGCCTCTGCAGAGGCCCATCGCTGGTGCTGTAATACCAAATCCAGCTCCCAGCTGCTGCCTGGTGTCTCTAGTCATCTAAGACCTGCCTCCCAACCCAATCAAAGCTTCTCTGTGGGATTCAGGAGTGGGTCTCCCTGTGTGCCTGGTTCACTGGTTCACACTCAGGGAAGGCATGCCAACTGCTGTGACGGGCAGGACACAGTGCAGCTGGGACAGAGGTACCGCAGGTGGGATGCATTCTGAAGGACGGGGTGACATCATGCATGAGGAAGGTCTGGGAAAAGAGGCGTTGGAAGGCAGAGGGTGGGGCAGAGCTTTGGGATCTAGGTGGTGGTCCCTGGGTGAAGGAGATCATACGTACCAACAGGTTTAGCAACAGGCACATTCCCCAGGTAATAGACTTGGAACTTTTGTACCAACTCATTCTTAGGCGCTGGGAATTCCACTGCAGGAAAGAAGAGGAAGCTCAGTCGTGGTGGCACATCTTGCTCACTCCCAGTCCCCACCACGGGGGCATGAGCTGGACATTCCAGCCAAGGCCCTACCTCCACCCTTTCCCACTTCCTCCCTTTAACCAAAGTCCCTCCGCTCATTTGATCCAAAGAATTTAGCAGCCATTTTTCTATCGTGTCTGTCCAGTGGTTCGTGCTGGATGTGGAGGGGTTGTGACACTGACCTTGGAAAGGGACATCCACAAGTTTAGAGTGGTCCAGGGAGAGTCCATTTACCAAGCAGCGGGCATTGCGCCGTTCCGCCATGATCTGAGGAAGGGAGGAGAGGAAGGGAGGAGCGAAGGAGGGTCTGTTAGGGCTTCCTAGCCCTAAAGGCCCCCCACCCCCACTCCGTGACCCCACCCCCACTCTTGTAGAGCAAAGGTGGCAGCTAATCCAGGGAGCAACGGGGTCGTGCCTTAGAGCAGATCTCATGCAGGCTGGTGGCGATGTTCTTGGCGGGTGCCTCACAGCGAAACACGTGGCACTTGAGCATCTGGGTCAGCTTATCACGAGCTACGTAGGCAAAGTCCCTGTTGGGGGAGGGGCACCTCAGTGTCTCCCAGTGCCATCCAATGCCGAGCCTGTCCCCACCACACCCACACCCTCCTCCAGGGCTTCTGCCCTCAGATGGTGTCCTGTGGGTACTGCCTTCTGGCCGGAGGGTAGACAGGCAAGCATGCCGAGGTGAGGGAGCGTGGGCGAGCACAGCGGGCAGGAAGGGGCCGGGCAGAATAGGGGAACTTGGGTGCTTCGAGGCATCGAGGCATTGGTCTGGGTGTGGGTGGAGGGGGGAGGTAAACAGGCATAGTACCTCTCTCTGGGTCCGGCAGCACAAGAGAGGCAAAGAACAGAGTTAGGGAGGAGGGCCCGCTCTGGCTGCTGGTGAGCCCCCACCCGGAGACCCCAGGCCCGGCGCCCACCTTCCACTGTCTTCTTAACGACGCCCCACACGCGAATGCTGACGATGGGCTGGGCGTGCAGCAGGCCTGCTCTGCGGCTCCACCAGCTTCAGCGTCTCCTCCTCCAGCTGCAGCAGCAGGTCCTTTCCCTGCAGACGCAGGACGCAGGCACTTGCTTGGAGGCCCGCTGCCACCTCCAGCTCAGA